CTCACTCGCACACTTCCCGGGAAAACTTTCTAGGAGGTCACCCATCCTAGAATTGCTCCAAGTCAAGCACGCTTAACTGTGGAAATCTTCTATTCTGGGCTACCGAAAAGCAGATGCATCTTGTTAGTATAGGTAGTACCAATTAATTCTTATAAGCTATCCCAACCTGTGCAGTCTCATACCTGCACAGTCTTTGGAATCCCTCTCTTTCAGGTGTCGATTCGATTCATTCATGCATGTAACCCCCGCTGGAAGCTTGTCAGGAGCTGCTCCTTGTCTGTGCCTCTTTTCACCGGCGATCACTCCCTGCCCTCGTCAGCGCTCAGGATGTTACATGTCCACCAGCTTCCGCCTGGTTCGTCCTCGAACCACACCGTACTGGAAGAGAGGCCCTGCTCTAATACCACTTGTAACGCATGGCCGCTTCAAGAATCAATGACTATCCTCACACACTAACACGAGACTTTTTACGGTGCTTTTTCCTCACTCGCACTCTTCTCGGGAAAACTTCCCAGGAGGTCACCCATCCCAGAATTTCTCCAAGTCAAGCATGCTTAACTGTGGAATTCTTCTGTTCCGGGCTACCAAAATGCAGATGCATCTTGCTAGTATAAGTAGTACCAATTAATTCTTATAAGCTATCCTAAACTGTGCAGTCTCATACCTGCACAGTCTTTGGAATCCCTCTCTTTCGGGTGTCGATTCTAATCATTCATGCATGTAACCCCCCGCTGGAATCCTGTCAGGAGCCACTCCTTGTCCGTGCCTCTTTGCACCGGCGCTCACTCCCCGCCATCGTCAGTGCTCAGGATTTTACAGTCTCCATGAGAGAGTTCCAGTTGACCTGGGGTCTTGGTGTGTTATCCGTTGAGGAGCACACTAGGAAAGTCTCGGGTGTATATGGATGGAGGGTTCCTTGGTTGATGTTCTGAGAACACTTCCTTGGATGAGAACCCGTAGGCTATATGCCGAGGCCAATAGGTCGGATGTTGCGTGACTTTGGCATTGACCATTCCAGCTTCATCGTATTTTACTCCCTATGCTTCCCTACTTCACTAAATCCCTTGTTTTATCCCCTTTTGAATGTTGTGGTATATTGTTAATGTATATCTGAGTGAGCCATTGGGTAGAATAGTCTTCAGAACCTCTGGGTTACTGAGATATATCCGTATATCTCACCCCATTTTGGGGACTTTATTTCAAGTAGTGGCAATGGCACTGGAGCGGCGGGCAAGAGGCCCCGTAGGATGAGCATGAGAGCTTAGAGCATATTTTGCATTTTGTGGCCATGTGACCTAGGCTAGACTTTGGACATGAACGTTGTATGTTGATATAAGATTATTCATATTGCCGTCTTTGTTCATGTCATATTTTGTCTAAGTTTAGTTGATGATTTATCATGTTTTATTTGAGGAATTATTATGTTGTAATTGGAGATGTAAATTGTATTATGTTTCATTGGAGAACTTGCAAATTGTAATTTGAGACCTTGTGTAATATTGAAGCATGTTATATGATGAAAGGGCAATAGGCCTATTCTACAATATAATTTATGTTTTATGTTTAAAGAATGCATGTTAATGGATCAAGGTGATTGAAATGGTTTAAGTTTTGATAATGTAATTAATGAGTTGTAAATTAAGTAAATTGATATAAACTGTGATGGGTTAAGAGCACCAAGGCGTTGTTGATCCTTGAATTTGCATAAAGTGTGAGATAGTTAGTAATTAGAGAGAACCCAATCCGAAATGATTGCCTATCCTATGTCAATATACGATAGGTACCTATTATCAACTATTTAAATTTTAAAGGCTCCATCTTAGAAAAAGGTCCTTTTAACGTGTGATTTACTTTAACTTTTTTTTTTTGAAGTACTATAGTATCAATGGTATGTCCGAAATCCTTATTTTGTTCCTCACATCATTTATTGTTTTTCTAATTGACAGCATTTGTTCTTTTGTGAATATCTTGAAATTCATCATGTGTCACCATTATGTTGTCCTTTGTGTGTTGAAATTTGGCTCCATTTTGAACTCTATAAGTTGATGCAAAGTTTTTGTGGTCATAACGGCGAAAAAATGTTAGCTTTCATTTGGTATGATAAAGATAAAACGTAGCTCTGGCATTGATTTTTATTTCTCCAACCACCTCTAATGATAACTTATTTAGGAATGAGATAGAATGGATTGATTGAAAATACGATAGATATTGCTAAATGTTAGGGCTTGTTTGGTGTGAGGCTATGAAGCACCGATTCGTTAAAAAAAAATAAAATTCACGTATCCGATATGCGTCCCAGACGGGTAAGCTTCTGACACGGTTTTTGCAGTATCGGATGGGTCAACGACTTCTTCGATACGGTCAAATGAAAGTTTTGAGAATTTTTAAAAAATGAAGGTTGTTTTCTAACGGATGATTTTGGCCCAGAAGTACCTAAATCGAAATCTCACTTATATACTCACCTCATTCGAATAAGCTGTCTTTGTTCTTCCTCTCTGGACGCCGTTGCTGTTCCTCCTTTTTTGCTCCGGCGACCTCTTTGGATCTTCCTTCTTGGCTTCGTACATCTGCCTTCTATAACTGTCAATAGTTTATTTTATTTGTCGCTTTCCTCCAATACCCACAGCCAAAGACTTCTTCAGATACCTCTCTCTATTTGCATGTGCTGATGTGCCTTTGGGCTTTGTATCTGTCGGTTTATCTTTATCCTTTCTCTTTGTCGGTTATCCTCTTTCATTCTTTTTTTCTTTATTAGGTATATGAAATAGCAGAGCATTAATAATATTGTATATCTTTTTTTAATTTTGGGAAACATTATAATTCGTATATCTTTCTATCCATTTTTTTTACTAGTCCTTTTGATAAAAAAAAATTAAAATAAAATCAATTTTGTTCAATAATATTTTACACACGATTTAAATTACCATCTATACTTTAATCTTTTCTCTTTTTTATGTGTCATTGTTATTATTGTTGTTCATTAATTTATTTATTTATTTTTGTATTATGTTAATTATGTATGCTTTTGTCTTGATTTTCTTTTTATGTTATGTATTTCTTAAATTTTATGATTCTGTATGAATAATCTATTATCTATGCTTATAATTTCTTTTATTATATTCTGTTAATGTAAAATATATTCTTTATATTAAAAATATTATTTAATACTAAGACGTGTCGGAACGTATCAAAATATTAGTATTTTTGAAGCAACGTATCAATATCACGTATCGGGAACGTATCGAAAATGCCGTGTCGGTATCGGTGCTTTGTAGGTTTGAGGTATAAGACATGATAGTATAAGCTTATACTATACGTTATGACATTTTCAGTTGTTTGGTGTGACCATCATATAGTATAAGCTTATACAGCATAATCCCTTAATACATCAAAACGATGTATAACTTAATCCGGCCTAAGGGTGATGGATAAGACCTAATAAGAGATTAATGTATTAACATCGTTGACCAATGTAATTCTCAAAAATTAATATATTTTTTTAATATTAATCTATTAAAATAAAAATTAATTTTTTAATATATTAATTTTAAAATATTGAATATTTTTATTTTTATAAAAATTAATTTATATTTTGGACACACTGATCAATAAATTTTTATAAAAATTAATATCATATGACATTTTTTGAAGAATTATATAAATTCTTTATTAAAGGATATTTTTATTAAAAATATTTATTTTTATCATATATAGTATTATACAGTGCATTATCAAATATTAGATGATATTATCTTATATAATATATTATTTTATACAATACCGTGCTAAACGCTGGATGGTATTAAAATTCAATCAGATCTTATACAATCATGCCTTATACTATCAAATCTTATACTATCAGGCCTTATCCTATACTATGTATCAAACATAATAATGCTGTGTACATGAACCGTTTTGTCCAATAACTTGTTTGTGAGTTTTGACAAAGACATGTACTCCGTTTAGATATATTTTAAAAATTGAAAACAATACATAAAGCAGTTGACACGCTTCTCCTGGTTGAGTAGATAAAAAGCCGAAAGATTTTAATTCGTGCTAACCAGTGCCGACATTTTCATATTATTATGTAATTTACTTTTTGTGAATTTTTTAGATTGTTATTCCTTAAAATTAGATAGATATAATATAAAGTTATTAATGTAGCATTCACCTAACAACTTAAGTTTTAAGATTAAATTATTTTTTTACAAAATATCAAAGCTTATGTGACAAGTGATCACAAGTTCGATTTTTGTCGTCTCCATTCTATTAATACGTAATTAAATATTACAAAGTTTCTTAATATAAATAAGCATTATTTGTATATTGTCCGCCCGAATGAACTCTTGCGTGAGATATCGTATTGGATATATATAATATAAAATCATTAATATAATATTTATCTAATAGTTTAAACTTTTGAATTAGTTAGTTTTTTTCCAGCGATTTTAGATTCACATTCTAGTTTCTTCCTTGACAAATGATGCTAAATTCTATTTACTAAAAAAAATGATGCTAAATTCTTGAAGGAGTGTCATAACTCAACAAAATATGGTTGGCTTAGCAAAGAAAAAACAATTGAATTGGCATAAGACATGACATGAGGGAGAAGGGGGTAAAAATGTTTCCGTTCAATTAAATTACTATTTTAAAGAGCTTATAATTATTACAATAATTACTGAAGAAAAAATAATTCTACAACTTGCAGAAGGGGAAAAGGATAGCCCCACCAGCCAAAAAATGGATTCTCCCACATCTCTTCACCTAACGCATTTAAACTTTCTAGTGTATAAGAATTCATTCTTTTTCTACTTCAAGACACTGTCATTGAAAGGTAAAAGAGAAAAAATAAAAAACAAAAAACAAAAAACAAAATTCCTAGTAAGGTCAAAATCTTTCTACTTCTGACTATACAGTAATGGCTAATGCAATCACAGATCTAAGAGTTTAAAATAATCTTGAGATTGCATAATCCAAAAGCAATCAAGAAGTAGTGCATTTTAACCTATGGCACAATCTTGAAGATGAGGGTGACTTTGATTTATGTACTTGTGCCAAAGTGGCTTATACCTGCCTATAGCTAACTTAAGCCATGGCTTCATGTTCCCATTGAAGTGAATAACCGCGGCACTTTCTATGAGGCGGTTATCAATATTTAGGTCGTAACCCAATCCTAAGACATGCCATCTTCTATCAAGTGGTTCTGTCAAACCATAAAAACTTAGAAGAGCAGGAGGAATTGTACCAAGCTTCCAGAGTGTTCCATCAGCATTCTGCTCTTGCCAATAGTGATATCTTGCAGTCACATTTTCTTTCCTCCATGCAACCAAGTCAAAAATATTCATACCAAATGCCCATCCACATGCCTGTGGATCAAACTTTGAGCTTACTATTGAATTTGAGAAATTGAGATACTTGTAGTAACGATGAAACGCTTCAAGACAAGTTTCAACTGCACCATTCACATTTCCATGCAAATCCAGTGAGAAAAGTGGGGTCAGGTCCTTCTGGACAACAACATCGTCGTCAAGGAAAACAACCTTCTCAAGTTGTGGATAAATCTCAGGGATGTAAAACCGGAGATGATTCAGTAGAGAGACGAACTTGGGGTTCCGCATTTTAGGTTCAACATTTATATCTTGATAAGATCCAAAATAGAAGGCTCGTGATTGGGGATTGCGTAGCTGTTTGACAATTGGAGAATAAGAATCATTCAACCAATGAAACTCCTCAATATTCTGCACCTCTATGGTGGCCCCTTTATAGTCATTACTGAGGAACCATGCTTGCATTGCTCCATAATTAACACCATCAGTGACAATGTGAAAAACCAACTGTTTCGGATGGTCAGCATTGAAGACTGTAGAGTTAACAACTACAGATGTTGCCAGTACATTATCTGAAAAAATGCAGAAATGAAATAGATTGTTGTCCATGCGCTGGGGAGAGTTCCTCCTCTCATCTGAGAGTTCTTGCAGGGATCGCGTCTTTAGCCAATCAGCCATAAGTTTCACATTTAGGCAATGAAGACTCTTGGGCAGTGCTTCAGCTGATATTTGAGCAAACACAGTGCTTTGAACTGTCGCAGCATTGGCTCGCTCTTCGAGAGCTTGAATATGGGATTTCATTGTCACTATAGTGGTTGCAATGTCATAATGGACATCTTGTGCTTTGAAAATTAGAGAAGATAGACTTTTAATAATTGGCTTGGCTTCCTCAAGGGTGACAGGCTCCCCAGTCATGGCAGCTTTTGAAAGCAAAAGCTGGCAACTTCTAATCTTTGAGCTAAGCTCCCAGGCTAGGTGAAGATTATTGTGCTCTTTGGCAATAACCACATAAGCCTTGGCCAGAACCATTTGCTCTGCTAATTGGCGTGAAAAGGATGTTGCACTTAAAATTTCTTCGGTAAAATTCAAACTCTCCTTAGCAAAATGTTCAACTTTTGCATTTCTCTCCTGCAATGATAAGTCACTTTCTCTGTAAGGAAATAGTTTTAATAACAAAATCAATATCTCCTAAAGCGAAACAACAGTCATTCAGTCAGTCGGGCCACGAAAATCGCTGTCACAACAACGTATATTCATGAAGAAACTTTCTCAAAAAGCATGCAGTTAGATATTTTCCTCAATGTAGGTGACTGAAAAGAAATTAACTAAAGAATTACCATTATAATGAGAACCATGATAAATCAACAAATACAAAAGCTTTATAGTAACAATACAATGTTGAAAGGCAGATTGTCTATGCAACATAACTAGATATCTAGAAGCAGGTCAAATGAACTCAATGAGTAATACATTGATATTGAAATGCAGAATGGCTATAGGAATGAGTAGCAAGCACCTGTTTTGCATAGTAATAAATGATTGAATGACTTCTACCACAATATCTGTTCTACAGTATTTTCCCCTGTTAGCGGCCAAAAATAAATATTAAAACAATTTCCCTTCCAAAACCTTTTGATCACCCTTTTCCTTGAAAATTAGTACAACAACAACCAAGCCTTACCTCACTAGGGGGGCCTGGCTACATGAATCAAAAGATCTCATTGGACTCTCAAAAACCAAAATTTCAACAAATCAATTTAGAGCAAGTTCCTTATTTATAGTTTCTCCTAATGTTTTCTTCGATTCTCCTCTGCCTCTCTTAACTGGAGTATTTTTCATTTGATTCACTTTTCTCATGGGAGCTTCTATTGTTCCTGTTCTCACATGACAAAACCACCTTAATTTAACTACAAGCAATTTTTTCTCTCTTCCATTTCAGTAGGATTTTAAAACACAAATGCTACAGAGTACCCAAAATTCAAATGGAAATTTGTGTTAGTATGCTAAACAAAAACTAGTCTGAATCTGGAAACAAAAAATGGAGCCAGTCATAAACTCCCCCCGCCCCACACACACACACACACACAAAATAAAAACTCCAGTGTGATGAAAAGAGTCTTGGAGGGTTCCCTGCCCCAATTAGCTCATCCACCAGAGATAATACTACTATGACCAAAACAATGAACAATTACAAAATCATAAATTTAGAATGAAAAATAATCAAGTAATATATCTTCTTTCAGTTTATATTAGTAGCACATCTTATTGCCAGAGTACATCTCAGATATCATTCAAACTGCTGGACTCTTGCCTCAACATCAACCGTGTGCATATATAACATCATGAACCATGGGAAGATCCATCTATACTCAGGTTAAGCTTGACTTCAAAACAGGAAATAGCAAAGAAAAAAAAGATGATTTTTCATATATCTGTCGATCACATCTGATAGTATCAAATTAACTATTTCCACCACAATTGACTCCCAAAAGTTCAGCTATGCAAGTAACTACAAAAAATTGTAACTCACTCTGACATAGACAGGGGATCAGAAATAGAATCAATTCTCCAAGCAATAATTCTGAATTACAGATGACTGAAAGTGAAACAACTATGATATCTAGTTCTTAGTCCAAAAGAAATAAATAAATAAAATCCCAAAAAACAGAAACAATAGGATCTCTAGCATCAAGAGCTAACTAATACTCGTTCATGATAACAGGAAGTCCACAATCACAGTCCCAGGAAAATTTTTATTACATATTGAATAAAAGCAATGAGAAAAAGTAGAAGAAAGATGAACAGTTTTCAGTTCCAAAGATACTAAACTTGTGCATGTGAAACAAGAAAGAAAACAAAGTTTTGAGATTCAAGAATACACATGATCCACATTAAAAGCACTCAAAGACGAGCCAATAGTTAGATGTTAATGGAATTAACACCTACAAGTACGAAACAGAAACGTTCGGATGAATTGATTCAAAACACAATTCACAGAAGTGAGCAAAGATGGAAAAGTTTAGAAAACTAGATATGCAAAAGAGAATCCTTTAAAACCATAACAACATCATATCATCATAAGTGCTCGGATGATGAAACCAATTCAAACAGCGTGTAGGTCCTAGTACACAGCCATAACCACGTTCTAAGCCCAATTGGGCATCGCCAAAATCATTTACTTTATGAAATGAACAAGCATATCCAATGAAAGAAACACGTTAAGTATCAAGCAACATAGGGGACCCTGTTTTGTTATGTTCTTACCAGAAGGGGATCTTGGACCCGATCTTCATGGTGATTGTGTTGCACAATGAACAAAACAAAACCCACAACAAAGAACGCGCCAAGAAGCAACCAGATCCAATGAGAGAACCTCCGCCGCACCGGGCGCCGAAACTCGGCAGCCCGTCGCCGCATTTTTCACCTTTTCCGTCCACAATTCAGCACCAAAACGAGAAATGATACCAACCCATGATTCGGATTCGATCAAAGAGCCATAAAAGAATGGCCTTTTGGCGCCCTCGTGCAAGAAAACGAATGTTCACTCACTGTACACCCCCAACCTTGTACCCTGTGACATGCACTTGCCTTGGACTGAGGATAGAGGGAGCAAGAATCAGAAACGAGTTGGGTTGTTACTTGTCAAAGAAGTGATAGCAAATAGGAAAAAAGCGCAAGTGCAAATGTTGATGATCTATTCTTTGTTTTTAGTGGCAGTATAATCAAATAAAGAATATTGAGTCCGACAAGTGAAAGTAGAGAAACAGAGAGAGAGAGAGAGAGAGAGAGAGAGAATTAAGCAAAGAGGTTTGGTTTCTCCAATGAGAGTGAGAACACAAACAGGATATACATACATAAGAGGAGAAATTTGAAACTATGGAAGTTACATCCTAGGTTTGCTTTGTATTCACCGTAGATTGTTAAAACATAATAAAGAACCAACAAAGCATAAACAAAGCCATAAACAAAATATAAAAAGCCAAAAAGATAGATGAGGAAGTCTATAAAGGAAGCGCGGGCACATGATCGCATGTGGATATGATGAAGTGAATGGTGACACTTTTCGGTTCATTATTTCATCTCCACTTAAATTTCAGGATAAGTAATTTTGGATCCCTAACCAAAAAATAAATTGTGATTTTTACTTTAGTCTCTTAAATAAAAAAGAAATCTCGTAGTTTCTATGAAATTTAAAGTAGATTTATTTTAGTTCTTTTGAGAATTAAGGTGAGTCTTTTTGAAATTTGTGAAAGATCACAATTTCAATTAAATGAGTTCATTTTGAATTTTTTATAGATTTTAGAATTAATTTTATTTTTTGGTAAGGGACAAAGGTTGAAACCATGTTTTTTATTAAGGACCCAAAATAAATTTTACTCTAAATTTTATTAGTGACAATAATCAAATTTGTCGAGAGAAGATAATACATTCTTTGGTTAAAAATTTCTCATGTTAAGTGATAATAATATTTTTCCTACACAAATAATAAAACATGTGGGTCCACTAGAAAGAAGGGGAAAATTTTTTTAGTGAGACTCACATATTTATTATATGCTTAGGAGAAGAAATTTTTATCATATAATTTGAGAATTCTTCAATCCTTTTTTTTTATTAAAGTGGAGAGACCACAAAAAAAAAATGAAATTGGTATATTAAAAAAAAATAATTACAAATGGAGAGTCTTGCACATATGGACATACCAAATGTGCAAGAGACCATTTCACATGGTGTCCTCATGAAATAATGTCATTCTAAAATAAAAAAAAATAAAAAAAAATTGCCTAGAAGTAAGACAGGTAGCATGATGGCGATGTTTGGAAAAACCCGAGTTAGTTTAGTGTGACATGGTTATGATGCGCATAGAACCTGCTTGCGGTGGATCTTTGTATTGGATGATGTAGTGGCTGCCTGTTATGGTTAAAACAACGGTTAGGAGTCAATTGCTTTTCGTTGGAAATAATTGGTTCTTTAGGAGCCGTTAGAAGTTAATTGCTTCTGTTAGATTGATTTTTAGTCAATTCGTGCTTTCACTCCAAATACAGTGGCCACCTTAAGGGTGCAAGATCTATCGGATGAACTTGCTTTCGAGCATTCTGAGCTCCATCAGCGTATGGAAAAAAGTCAACGACAAGTTCAACAGCAACTAGCCTTGCCATGAATGTTCGCCTTCGCAAGCTATCCTTGCAACTAGAGTCTCAATAGTCGATGGAGACAAGGTTGTAGGAGTCACCCAATGTTCATACTAAGTCACCTGATTCATGTTTTCCTCTAAAGTTTATCAAGATGAAGATCCCACTTGAAAAAGGGTATTCTAATATATTATAGAATTGTAAATAATAATCTGTATAAATGGTTCTCTATTTACAGAGAATACTTGACCTAATTTTGACCTAATGGGCTTGGCCCAATACAACAAATAAATGATTAAATAATAATTAAATAATAACTAAATAATTATTATTTACAACACTCCCCCTCAAGCTGAGGAATAGATATTTATCATTCCCAGCTTGCTAGTAAGTTCTTGAAATCTGTCTGAAGGAAGCCTTAATAGATCAACTAATTGACGCCCAGTGAGAATGTATGGAGTGGTAATCAACCCGCTATCAAGTTTCTCTTTGATGAAATGGCGGTCAACCTCAATATGTTTAGTCCGATCATGTTGAACTGGATTATGAGCTATACAAATAGCGGACTTATTATCACATAGCAGCTTCATAGGTCCCTCACATTTTATTTTGAGATCATCAAGTACAATTTTCAGCCACAGTAACTCACAAATGCCTTGAGCCATAGCTCGAAATTCAGCTTCTGCACTTGATCTGGCAACCATATCTTGTTTCTTACTTCTCCATGTCACCAAGTTACCGCAAAGAAACATGCAATAACCAGTGGTAGAACGACGGTCAGTCACGGATCCAGCATAATCAGCATCTGTGTAGACTTCTAAAGATAGATTGTCATCACGTCGGAATAACAATCCTTTACCAGGAGTACCTTTAAGATACTGAAGAATTCTCTCTACTGCCTGCATGTGTTTTTCTTTTGGATCGTGCATAAACTGACTGACAACACTAACAACATAAGCTAGGTCTGGTCTAGTATGGGCCAGATATATCAATTTTCCAACTAGCCGTTGATATTGTCCTTTGTCAACTGGAGGACTCTCTTCTTCATAGCCCATCTTGTGATTCTGCTCAATAGGAGTATTAGAGGGTTTACACCCGAGCTTTCCTGCTTCTTTGAGAAGATCAAGAACATATTTCCTCTGGCTGATAAAAATTCCTTTGCTTGAATGAGCTACTTCTATCCCTAGGAAATATCTCAGTTTCCCAAGGTCTTTGATTTCAAACTCAGAGGCAAGCCGTGTTTGCAGAATCTGTCTCTCCACAAAATCATCACCTGTGATAATAATATCATCAACATATACAAGGAGCACAGTAAGCTTCCCATTTTGGGAGTGCTTGAAGAAAAAAATGTGATCTCCTTGACTCTGTCTGTATCCTAAGGTCATCATAACCTTAGTAAATCTTCCAAACCAAGCACAAGGTGACTGCTTCAATCCATACAAGGCCTTTTTTAATCTACAAACTTTATTTTCCCCCTTCACAGAATCAAAACCAGGCGGGATTTCCATGTAGACTTCTTCTTTTAACTCACCATTGAGGAAATCATTTTTCACATCAAATTGATTTATATCCCAATTGTAATGGGCAGCAAGGGATAACAAGATTCTCACTGTATTCATCTTTGCAACTGGAGCAAAGGTTTCTTCATAATCAATGCCATAGGTTTGAGTGTAACCTTTGGCCACTAATCGAGCCTTATATCTCTCAAGAGTGCCATCAGAATTATATTTCAGGGCATAAACCCATCTGCACCCTACTGCTTTCTTTCCGTTGGGTCTATCAATAACCTCCCATGTTTTATTTTACTCCAAAGCATTCATCTCCTCTTGCATGGCTTGAGCCCAATTCCTATATTTCAAGGCTTCATGTACTGATTTTGGAATTGCAATAGAATCTAGTACTGAAACAAAGCTTTTGTGCTGCACAGAAAGATTAGCAGAGGAAACAAAGTGGGAGATAGGGTATTGAGTACAAGAGGGACAGGAAGAACAAGTTTTTTTGTGACAAGATCTTTTTCCTTTTCTAAGAGCAATAGGTAAGTCATCAGAAGTAGAAGCAATGGGTAAGTCATTAGAGATATCAGAAGAAATAGACAAATCATGAGAGGAAATAATATTAGAATCAGAAACAGGAGATTCAGGAGACTCAGAAGAAATAGGAGATTCAGGACTTACCAGTGGTTCAGACGATTGAGGTTGCTGGTGAGACAGTATAGGTTGTATCTCAGGTGTATTTGAAGGTTTTGACACACCAGAAGCAGACACACTAGGAAGAGAGAAGATTGATCCAGACTCAAAGAAGGAAGGGGACGAGTCTTCTGAAGAACTGTTCTCCCCCTGACGATGAGGACCTAGGAAATAAGATTCAGATTCTTGAAAGGTGACATCCATAAAAACAAAAAATTTCCGACTTGGTGGATGATAACACTTGTACCCTTTTTTATAAGGGGTATAACCAAGGAGGACACACTTAAGAGCCCTAGGATCCAACTTACTCCGATGTTGTTTATGAACATGGACAAAGGCAACACATCCAAACACTCTTGGTGGAAGGTCTGCAATATGGGAACAGAAGGAAAGAAGGAAGTCATGGAATGAATAGGACTGATATTGTTAAGGACCCGTGAAGGTAAACGGTTGATCAAAAAAGTTGCAGCTAATACTGCTTCTCCCCAATAAGAACTAGGAACAGATTTCTGGAAAAGTAGTGCTCTAGCAACTTCAAGAAGGTGACGATTTTTCCTTTCAGCAACCCCGTTTTGTTGAGGGGTATCAACACATGTGAGCTCATGAATCATACCTCTGTCTGAAATGAATTGTGACAGGCGTTGATTGACGTACTCAGTACCATTATCAGATCTGAGTCTTTTAATACCCTTACCAAACTGAGTCTCAACCATGTGATGAAACCGAATAAATATCGCTGGTACTTCAGACTTGTTTTTCATCAAGTATATCCATGTTATCCGAGTACAATCGTCAATAAAAGAAACAAACCACCTTGCACCTGAAACACTGTGCACTTTAGAAGGGCCCCAAACATCAGAATGGATAAAAGAAAAAGGTTCCCTGCTTTTAATAGTGCTAGAAGGAAATGACACTCGATGGTGTTTTGCAAATTCACAAACATCACAATGAAAGGTCTCAACCGAATTATTGAGAAACAGAGAGGGGAACATAGACTTCAAAAGACTAAATGGTGGATGCCCCAGACGCTTGTGATGGACCCAAATCATAGACTTTGCAGTAGAAGGATGACATGTCATTAATAACTGATTTTTGCTAGCATGGTCTGGAAGGAGATGATACAACCCATCCTGTTCATTAGCAACTCCAATTGTCTTCTTCGTGGTAAGATCCTGAATAAGACAATGAGAAGGAAAAAATGTGATAGAACAATTCAAATCAGTTGTAAGGTTTTGAGTGGAGATAAGATTAGTAGAAAGCTGAGGAACATAAAGAACATTTTTAAGAAACAAGGAAGGTTGAATTTGAATGTTACCAGAACCAATAACTGATTTATGGGATCCATCAGCTACGGATATAGTATGACTACCAACAGTAGGATGA